TATTGAATGTAGTCATAATAGTGTGTTCGATGAGTTTTAAATCAGCAGGTGTTGAATGGGGGCCTACTTTATGTCTGGTATCGTTTCACAGAGGAGTGAAACACAGCCCATCACCTGGCAGATAAAGAAATAGCAATGTACAGTGCTTCCCTGTGCAGGTAAATGCAGAAGACCAGGGGGTGCAGCAAGGCCAGGAGACCATTGTCCTGGGGATGGTGTGGGGTGAAGGATGCCCTCACGCATAGGATCTAAGGAAACATGCTCCAAGGAGAGAAGCGGAGGACACCGCTGGGGGGAGTGTGTGTAGGCTTGGGAAGTAGTCTGTGTTCACTTCCGTCACTGTGACCACATCCCAAGGAGATCAGCCGAGAGGAGGAAAAGTTTAGCTCCAAGTCTCAGTGGTTTCAGCCCACAGTCCGCTGACTCCATTGCCTCAGGCCCATGGGGAGGCAGACATCCTGGTAGAGGGTGTGGCGGAGGAAGCTGCTCACCTCATGGCATCTAAGAAGCAGATAACCAGGGGAAGTGGCCGGGGTGGGGACCATTCTCTGCTGCTATGGTGTAATGACACTCGACTGGGCAAACATAAACAATTTACATTTATCTGGCTCATGTTTCCAGAGTCTAGGAAGTCCAAGAGCTTGACGCCAGCTTCTGACGAGAGCCCTGGTGTTGGGTCATAACATGGCAGAAGGGCAAGCAAGTATTGCTGAACAGAATCAGAGAAAGGGGCCCAGTTCTTCCCTTTTATCAGCGATTGCAGCATGAACCCATTCGTGACAGTGGAGCTGTCGTGTTCAAGTCAGGTCTGAAGCCCTCACCTCTTAACACTGTTCAGCACTTAGCACTTCAACATGAATTCTGGAGGAGACATTCAAGCCATGGCATGTCAAGAGAGCTTGAAATCTGCCATGGTGAGAGGCTGTACACTGCACAGTTCAGCAAATACTGCAAAACAGGAACGTCTCCTGGCCCAGCTGGTACACCTCAGGGTGGAGCCCACTGACAAGACATGAATTGTGCAAGTCTGAAGCTCAACCTCGAGACCTGGGAAGGAGCTGCCCGTTTGGAGGTGGAAATACCAATTAGTGCACGAGATAAGCGCTGAGAGCTTGTGGGAAGCAAGTGTGGATCCAGAAGAGAGAGCCCCCAAAGAGCACCAGGTTCAGGGAAAGTAGGAGAAGGGTTAGTGAAAGAAATGATCCAAGACCGGTCCAAGCAAGGTTGGAAATTGGAATGGAGAAGAAACCAAGAGAAAAAAAGCTTCTGCTTCAACTGTGATCAACTTGTTTAGTAAACAGGCTGGGCTGGGACATAGGCCAGCAATCCGTAGGTTTAGTGACCAGGAGAGTCATGGTGGCTTGTAGACATGGCACCGTAAGTCACCGGTCGATAGGTAGGAAGTAAGGAAGCAGTAGAGTCGAGGATGCAAACATAGTAACCACTTTCAAGGTATTTTATGAACAAGACCAAGGAAGAAGATTGTCTTGGCTTAGAAACTGGGACAGCAGACTGGCCAAAGACAAAGAAAAGGAGGGAAATGAAGTTGATTTTTAAAAGAGATTTTTTTTTCTGTTTAAGATGTAATATATTCATATTGCTAGAAATCTGAACAGAAGAGAATAATGAAAATCTAAAGTGGAGGTTCCCGGTGACCGTCACCTCCTGTACTAATCCTTTAACAATGAGGTATACAGCTTCCTCACGCTTTCCTAGACACAGTGTAGGGATGAGGTCAAGGTCAGACAGACCTGGTCGAGCCCAGCTCTACCTGCTCTACCCCAAGCCCCTGGGCAAGTCCTGCAGCCTTTTAGCCCCTCAGTTTCTTAGTGTGTAGAATGGAAATAATGTGATCCCCTCTGCCATCGGGCTGCACTGGGGTTTGCTCGGGATGATGCCTGCACAGTGGCTGGAGCAATTGTGTGTGTACACATGTGTGCATATGTATAAATTATGCATACTCGATTGGGAAGAACTTAAGTTCTGGGTTGGTGAGCAGAAGCTGCACAGAGGTGGAGGACAGAAGCACAGCACGGAGGCAGAATGTCCTGGTCAGAGAAGAGAATCCGAGTCCCATGAGTTCAGGGTGAAGCATTTCCAGGGCAAGGATGGCCCCATGTCCAAGTTGCTGAAGGAGAGAGAAGATAAGGAATCTTTCATTCCACATTTAGGCAATTCCAAATTGTATTTCCCAATGCCAGGTCAAGCCATCATCCTTCTTGGCAGAGCTGGTGCCTTTTGCGCACCTGGGTTATGGGACTCCTTATCTGTGGGTGTCGCAAGAGCCTTGTTTGTTTGCTTTCAGCACCCAGGCTCTGTGGCCTGCTTTGCCAAATGAGTCCTTTACCAAGCGGGGATGTTTTTCCTTAGCCATGTGTGGTGGATTAACTAATGGTCAACTTGTAATGCCCAGCTGAACTAAATCAGTGTGGTTTGGACGTGGAAAACCCACCTGAGGATTGTTGCCAATAGCCATAAAAAGAGAACTGGAGGGGAAGATCATGGGCTGTTGTTTTTTAGGAGAAGCTTGCTGCAGTTGGTTTTCCTGATGCAAACTCCGCTGTTCTCATTGGAGGAGGAGCTTGGGGTCTCGCTGTTGCTGGAAATGGCTGCTGTTCTCATCAGGGGAGCTCTGATCTTCACCTTGAGCGTCACTTCCTGGCTCCTACGTAGATCCGTCGGCCTGGTGGCACAAATCCTTTACCCCAGCAGCGCAGGTTTTCTGGCTTCCACCACTGGCCTTTGGGCCTTCTGGGTGCAGATCCTTAATACAGACAAGCATGAGACATTACCGAGGGCTCTAGGCCACTGGCTGGACTCATGGAGGACATTACCTGGGGCTCCAGGCCTTCAGCTGGACTTGTGCTGCACACTGCTATAGGATCCAGGCCCTCGGCTACATTCTTTGGGTCTCTAGTGTGTGGCTAATCTCTTGCACTCTGCATTTGACTTTTGGGGTGATTGCTATAAAATAATCCTATAAATTATGTGTCCTGTATTAAGTAAGTCTGTTCCCTTGCAAACCATGACTATGACACCATGCCATTGGTATCATCTTTGCTGACCTCAGTTCAGGTGTAGCATGCCTTGTGCTAGGTCCAAGGCATCCAGGTTTCCCTCAGTGCACTGAGTCAGTCCCCCAGCTCCTTGACCTGCCCAATGAGTTGTTCATTTCTACGCCCACAATGTCATTCTTTCACTCCTCTGTGTCTCCTGTTGCCACATTAATTAAGGCCCTCAAAACTTATATCCCTGGTAGTCACAAAATGTGTTTACACAATCCTACATTCTCAGGAAAAAAATGGTGCTGATTGCTAAATCCATGCACATTCTTTTAAGCTTTTCTCCACATAAAAGTTCTATTTTCATTTAGCAATAAAATACTAATTTTTTGCCACGTCAGTATATCCACATCTATGACCTCAGTTCAAAAGCCTATATCCAACTTATCCCTTACTAAGAGTGGAAATTTTGGTTGTTTACAATTTATAGTTTTTGAGATGTCATGTCAGTGAATATCCTGACAATTTAATCTTGATGCATGTTTTCAATTATTTCTTTGTTATACAAATCTAGAAATGGATTTCCTGGGTCAGAGCATATGCATTTCCTTTGGCTTCTAACCATTCCTCATGCATGGTGTCCTCCCCAGAATACATCCTGCGTTCTTGTGGCAGAATTACTTCTCCAAAAGTGATGCATTGTAATCATTTTACTTCCTGTTTGGAAACTCTTGACATTCCCATATCACACTGGCAGGAATAAGGCCCCACTATCCCGACCTGGCATTAGTGTCTCTGTAGCATCTGGCCTCAGCTGCCTTTTCCTGTAGGTCTCCACATTCAACTCAGTTTCAGCAGCCTGGACCTCATGTGGTGGATCCCTTTGGATGTAGGATGCTTACTTTTTTGGGTCCAGATTCTGGCAGGAAGCCTGTAGCATGCTCAGACTGGATTGTTGGATGAGTGTCTAATAAAGTGACCGTGAGCAGCAGTGGGAGAAGAATTTAGGGAGAGTACGATGCCTTTGGGAAAATGGTCATGAGAGCCATGAGTACCCAGGGCTTCCAGGGACAACACAGAAAGCTGGAAGCAGCAGCCCACAGCAACCAGTCAGGAAGGGAAGCCACAGAATATTTCAATCCCATCTTCTATCCATCAACAAGCTACTGGAAACTGCCCTGGCCCAACCAGGAGGCAGTGGCCCACGAGCCCATGGGTGCTGTGCCCCCAGGTCAGCCTTGGCTGTGAATCATGCAGAATGGATCTGGTGAGCGAATGAAGAGGTCCGCCACACCAGTTCCTCCCGTGTGTGAGGTCTGAAAGTGCTTTAATGCTGATCGGGGCATTTAATGTAGTCTCAGGTTTTATTTATTCACTATCCCCCCTCCACATACAGATTAATACCAGAAAGACAGCCGTGGTCTTTTTTGCTTGTGTGAGCAGATGTGCAGGCAGTGGAGCCAGGACATCCCCCGGTCCACAGAAAGACTGGAAAGCATGAATGTCTGGACAGAGGAGGCAGAAGAGGCACGGATACCAGGAGGGTAACACAGACTCCTTCTCCAAGCCCTCCAAGAGTCAGGTATGAGAGCTTCAGAGACTCACAAAGAGAGAAAAGCCCCGGAGCTCTGCACCCTCTGTCCACCTCTCTCTGTGGCCCCTTTCGTAGGCATTCGAGTTGCACTGTGGCTTCCAGGCAGGGTGCCTTGATTTCACTCACTCTTGCTGTGGCTCTGCTTGGCCCTCAGGAGGAAGCAGGGCTCAGCAGACAGGAACAGGACCTGCTCCCAGGCCACTGCAGCTGTCTGCTGCAGCAAGTGACCTGCTTACCCTACCTCAGCTTCCTGATCTGACCAGTAGGAGAAGTAACTGCACCTCTGAAATCAGACTCGCCACATGTGCCAGAGTTCTTAGAACAAAGCCTCTGTGGGTTTGTTACTCTTACCACTTTCTTTAGAATCACAGGAAGAATAGAATAGAATCTCTGTGTCCCAAGCCCAAGTCAACAGCAACCAGGGAGTACGAGAGGGGGTGGCCAAGCCACCAGGTCCGCATGTCCTTGTTCCCAGGCCTGCAGTTCCTGGGCATCCTATCAGGACCCAATGTTGAATCAGTGTGATTCAGATTAAAGACTGGGCACAGACAGGCCCCCAGTGGCTCCTGTGTCCTGTCACGGGACAGGCAAGAGACTCTCATCTAGCCAGCTGGTCGCAAGGTCATCCTGACAGTACAGAATACCTCCATCCCATTAATTGTGCTTCCTGTTGGCAGACCCTGACAGCTTCAGTGAGTAAAGAAATAACATTTTTATAAGATTAGGATTACTTTGGCCTTATTTGTGTCTGGCTTTGTGTATTATTGATGTCAAATTTTTCATTTTTTAACATTCAGAATATATTACAATATTTTGACCATCTTGGGGGTCAGTTTTTTTTTTAAACAGTGCAGGCAGCTCACTCTAGGCTTGTAGGAGATCCTGGGGGCCTCTCTGCCTGGCCAGTTCTGGACTTGGGGAGAAGTGAGCTGGCAGAGACCTTTTGTGAGGGGAAGGAGCCACGGAGGTGGGTTTCGAAGTAGGTGAGACCCCTGATGCATGCAGCTTGCTGATGGCAATAGTGCAGCCTCTCGCTGGATGCCCCTCCTGACAGGCTCCTCTGTTCCTTATCCCGGGGACCTCTGTCCTCACTCCTCAGTACTAGTTACTCAGCAAATACTTGTGCAGGGAAACCAAGCTGAACTGAACCTGCTATGGACCTTGCAAAGTGAGGACACATTTCCGAGGGGCTTCCCAGTGCATCCTGTGGCTCATAGCAGACACGTAAACTCTTCTCTCCAGCTTGCTGACCGTGGTTTCTCCTAACCACCTGTCCTCCTGGGCCTCCCACCCCAACCCTGGCAGTAATCTCCTTTGCCAGCTCTTCCTGTGCTGCCAGACCTCAGAGGAGGCGCCGGGGGGCTCCCCTGGCACCTGCTGTCCTCGGGTTATCTTGCACATTCTTGCAACTTTAAATATCACCTGTGCACTGGTGATTTCTGAATGTCCATTTTTAACTCCAAAGTTACAGAGCTCTGGACTCTTACTTGATAGTAGGATGTCTCCCGTGTATCTCAAAGTTGCCTGAAGACAGAGCACGAGATGTGTATGCTCTTCTACTCCCTGCCTGCACCCACTGTCTCCTCAACCCCTGTCCTTAGCATCCAGGCTCATCTCTAACTGCTTTCTTTCCCTCACTACTCAGATCTAATCTACTCCTGCCAATCCATTCCCGCTGAATAACTTGGATTTCACTTCTCGTCCACCCCGTCACTGTCCTCAGCTGTCTAGACTTCTGCAATAGCCCCTCGGTGGGTGTTCTTCTGCTTTCAATTCCATTTCCCTCCCATTCCCTCTCCAAATAGCAGCAGTCAAAGAAGAAAGTTTAAGTTGCCCTATTTTTTCCTTGTTTGAACCTTTCAGTGCTACTCTCAGTATGTGGCATAAAATCCAACTCCTCACCCCATACAAGCCCTGGATGCCAGAGCCCTCACTTGCAGGACTCTTCTCTCCAACATGACCCACACTCATGAACCAGCTGCATCCTGGACCCCTCCCCACCTGCTCAGATGCCTGGATTCTTCTCCTGTACCAGGTCTCAGCTTAAGCATCACCTCCTTGTTAGCGTTCTCCAGGACCGGCACCAGCAGGAGATATATGGAGGCATTTAGTAGACTTGTTCACCTATTAGAGGATAGACAGTCCCACACGGGTGTTTGTAGGGAAATCAGTAGCTGCTCTGTCCAGGAAGCTGGAAGCCAGAGAACACAGGAAGCTGGAAGCCGTGTCCGAGAGGGAGACCCTGGCAGGCACTGGTGTGAGTCTGCGTTCAAAGGCTGAAGAATTTGGAGCTTTCTGTCCAAGAGTGAAAGCAGCAGGGACAATCATGTCTGCTCCAGAAGGGTCTTGTTGGTGTGAGCAGGCACGAGCTTCCCTCCCTTCCACTGCTCCACCCTATCAGGGGCCCTGGCCTGGCAGATGGTCCTGCCCACACTCAGGACGGGTCTCCCACTCAGTGTACTGAGCCACATGCCAGGTATCTCCAGGAGCAGCCTCATAGACACACCCAGCAGTGCTCTGAATTGGGCAAGGTGACAGCCAGGATTAGCAGCTCCTCAGGCAGCTCCCCATTGTTCCCGACACTGCACAGTGCTTGAGGCAAAGATCCTAAGTCTATATGCGTACCTTTATTGGTTTTCTTGAGTATTATCTATTGTGTTCTCTGGACTGTAAGCTCAAAAAGACAAGAACTATGAGTGTCTTGTTTCCTACAGGGCCCAGTCCAGCATCTGGCATGTATGAGGGCATCTTATGAATACACCTGGGAAGAAAGATAGGAAGCCAATGAAGAGAAGAGAAAGGAAGGAAGGGGAAGGGAGGAGGAGAAGGGAGCAAGGAGAGGGAGGGAGAGAGGTGTTTAGAGCAGCAGCATCATAAATGGAGTTGTCTGCTTAGAGCTCGGGAGGGAAGCGGAGGCAATGAGAAACGCCTAGATGTACTGTGGTTCTTTCATTGTTTAAGTAGCCACCTTGTGTCAGGTGCTTTATGAATTATTTCAGCTGTTTTAATAACCCTAAGCAAAACTGTTAAAATTTCCTTTTATTTGTAAGAAAAAAGCAGCTCTGCAGACCTAAGGAGATTGCCCCAAATCTCACACTAGTTCTGAATGTGAGGGGCCCAGGCTGTCCCCACCACTCCCTAATGCCAGTCTCCATTGTGTAGGTGGCAAATGAGCTCCCTCCCAGGCCTGTGGCTGACAACCACTGGCTACTTTTTATTTTAATTTTTGTCAGTTGCTATTTGAAGGAACGTGTTAAGAAGCTCCACATTTGGACTAAAGTAGAAGATGGAATTGTTGCAGAGGTTCCATGAGAAACAGAGGGTTGACCTCGCCCACCAACCTCCCGGAGATGCTGACGTTGATTGGTGAGTTCTCCGTAGGAAGGCGGGGCCAGTTTCCATGGTGTCAGCACAACAACACTCCAAGCTAAGGCTGCCGCCAGGGCAGAGCTCTTGGATTTCCTACACACAGTAAGTGCTTTTCTATCACCCTTTCCTTAATACTACAGCATTTACAGAGCACTCATACTTATTACAACCTTTGTTATTCACTCCTCTGTAAATTGAGGCGCATGTACCAGAAAGATGGGAATGCAAGTGTAGGTAACCAAATTCACAAGGATTAATGTAAAGGAACGGGTTTGCTAAATTCCAGTAGTCAATGATAGGCTAGTGGATAAAAATGAAAATGCAAACAGATATGCAAATATATGCAAATGGTACGGAAATAAGTCTTTTAGAAAGCCTTTATTTATTTATTTATTTTTTGGTATCGGGGATCCAGCTTGGGTCCTTGCCTTTGCACAGCAGGCGGTGAAACCACTGAGCTAAATCCCCAGCCCAAAGCCTTTATTTTTTAAAAATACCTTTATTTGTACATAATTCATAAGCCATAAAGTCAAATTTAAAGTCTACCATTCAGTGGCTTTAGTATGTTAGTGTGAAACTATTACCCTCAAAAATCTAATATTAAAATATTTTATCACCTCAAAAGGAAATCCTCGGTTTCGCCACCTGTGGCACAAGCACAAGGACCCGAGTTTGATCCCCGGTACCAAAAAACAAACAAACAAACAAAAATTTAAAAAAAGGAAATCCTGTACATACCAGGAGTCATTCCCCATACTGACCCTCAATCCAGCTCTAGACAACTAAAAAACTACATTTTGTTTCCATAGATTTGCCTTTTGTGGGCATTTCACATAAATGGAATCATACGCTATGTGATCTTCTATGACTGCCTCGATTCCCTTAGTGTATTTTAAGATTTACCCATTCCAGTACCTGATTCATTTTTATCATCAAATAATATTTCATTATATAATATTCCACATTGTACTTATCCTTTCATCTGTTGATGGATGTTTGAGATGCTTCTACTTTGTTTTGTTTTTGGTACCAGGGATCAAACTCGGGTCCTTGCACTTGCAAGGCAGGCGGTGGAACCACTGAGCTAAATCCCTGGCCCCCAAAAAGGTATTTATTTATTTATGTACTGGGAATCGAACTCTGGACCTTGTGCTTGCAAAGCAGGCAGCAGCATCATTGAGCTAAATCGCCAGCCCTGAGATGTTTCTACTTTTTGCCTATAATGAATAATGACTCAGTCTATAAACATTCATGTGCAGATATTTATGTGGATATGTTTTTGTTCTATTGGACATATACCCCATTGGAAGATTCATACTTTTCAATTTCAAAAGTGATCAAGTAATTAAGATTATGATGTTACCATAGCTCAGCATGGTTGCACATGCTTGTAATCCCAGCTACTTGGGAAGCCGAGGCAGGAGGAGTCCCAGGTTGAAATTAGCCTGGGAAACTTAGCAATATCTTGCCTCAAAATAAAATTTAGAAAGGGCTGGGGATATAGCTCAGTGGTCAAGCATTTGCCTAGCTTATGGGAGATCCTGGATTCTCCCTAGCACTTCAAGGAAACAAAAAGATTACGGTAGTACCCGCACAAGAATTCATATATAAAGCAATAGAATAGAATTGAGAAGCTAGGAATGAAGCCTTACATTAATGCTCAGTTGCTTTTGACAGGTGTGCCATATATAAAAAGTCAAATGGGTCACAGAACTAAATGTAAGACTTAGAACTATGTCAGAGTAAAGCACAGTAACTAATCTTTGTAAGACAGAAGACCATCTCTTCCCTTTGTGTCTAAATATCTAGTTGTCCCTGTACGATCTGTTGAAGGCTCCTCTTTCCCGTTGAAGCGTCTTGTCATGTGGGTTGAAATGGGAAAGTAGAGTCCTCCAACTTTGTTCTTTTTAAAGTATTTTTGGCTATGCTGTGTCCTTCAAATTTCTATATGATTTTTTAGGATTAGCTTTTCAATTTCTTGGAAATACATTTTTCTGCCCAGTGGAGACTTCTGGTTGAATTGCAACTCATCCATAGGAAGTTGAACAACTTCTGTGGTATGAACTCAAATGTGAACAAACACGGTTGGCTGAAGCATCAGCCCGCATGTAGGTGGCATGAGAGACAGGAGGCCACAGATGCTGATTAGAGCAACACTTTTGTTTCCTTTGGCACCTGTAGATTAGAGGCACTGCTATTTTTGTTTGGCATTTTATCTTGATCAGATCCTCCAGAGTTTTGATCAAAACCCTTCAGGGTTTTTTACTAAAGCAAATACAAAAAATGAAACACAGTGTCATTTTTTGGTTCCTTCCTGCCACATGTGTAATCACCCTTTGGGGTGAGATCAAGATATTAGGGTTAGTATTAAAAGGAAGAAATTTCCGACTGGTTAGATGTGCCGGGTTCTTGTCTCACAGAGGTAAAGAATGGACTCAAGGACAAAGGAGGTGAAGAGAAGGAAAATTGTTTTAGAGAAAGCTCCTGAGAGACAGGAGGGGTCCTGAAAGTGAGCTTCCACTGAGGCTCTTTGTCTAGGGGCTTCTTAAACAGTAAAATTATATCACAGCTTAGTTTAGGTCAAACTCTAATCAACCTATAGAGTCACAAGTGCAGTCACTTAGCTAATACTGATCTAATAGGTGCATAGCATGGAGGAAAACCAAGGCAAGTCTGGAAGGGGTAGGAGTGAAGGTCAAAGTGTTCTGGTCATTTGGCTATGTGCCTTGTTACATTGTTTCTATATGTATGTTACATTGCTTCTATGTGTTTGGTACATTGTTCCGGCTTATTGGACCAGATAGTGTTAGAGCACAGCTTTGAGCTGTTATTTATCTCTGGTGGGGCTCACAGGTCTGGCCATGGTGTTTCCATCTTGGGGATTGGTTTCTATGGACTCAGCCCTTGACCACAGGCCTGGCTTGCCTCATCTCTGTTCTGACTCTATGCCAGGACTGGTTTCTAACTGTTTTTCTAACTGCCTATTAATCACTATGTAACTAAGCTCTCTGCCATATTAGGGTTATGGTTATGGTTAGACAGATGCTGCTACCCAAGTGTAGAGAAGGAACCAGAGCTGCTAGGGGCATTTGTTACACATGTAGGATCTTGGACCCCACCCCAGACCTACAGAGTCAGTTTCCAGTTACACAGCATCCCCACAGGACCAGGAGATAGCATCTATGTCCACAGCCAGACCTGGCTCATTATAACCTGTAGGCTGACTCGGCTGGGCCCTGAGACCCCGGGAGTCTATGTCTCCCAGCCAGTCACCAGTGGGAGTGGGCAGCCACTCTGCGGTACTTGGGCTCACTAGTGCAGAGAATGATGCTGCCTACCCACTGGCCATGGCTCTCCCCCAGCCTGGTCCTCTGCACCCCAGAACATCCCCAGCTGATCCCAGGGAAGGAACCACCTAGACCACCAGGGAAGGCAGGCAGGGCTTCTCCCTCCTGCATGGACACTATTTTCTACAAATGACTCCCTTCCTGTCCCCTGGGCACAGAAGGCCCTGTGTCTCGGTCTCTCTGGGTGTCCTTGGAATTCACCAGGACAGACCCACAGGGTGGGTTATGTGAAAAGGATCACTGGCCCCACCCAAGCATTTCAGATTCAGTGGTCCAAGGCTGAGCCCAAGAATTTACTCTTTTGAGCTGGGCGTCAATAGCACAAGCCACTAATCCCAGCACTATGCAGGCTGGGGCAGGAGGATCCACATGAATTCAAGGCTGGCCTGGGCTACATAGTGAGTCATAAATCCCTGCTAATGTCACTGCGAGGGCCACGCTTTTGTCAGGTGGGCTCCGGTCCCTTCTTGAGGCCTCAGCTTGAGCTTCGAGATCAGAGAGATTCCCAGGGGCCACAGCTCAGGTGGCTTCTGTCCGCAGTCCTATTTTTTTATTTGTTGGAGCGGGATACAGAACTGGGGATGAAACCCAGGGCCTTCACACTGAACCAAAACCCAGCTATTTTTTTTTATTTTTTTAGTTTTTACTTTGAGACAGTGTCTCTCTAAGTCACATGTTGGACTCGAATTTCTAATCTTTCTGCCTCAGCTTCCTGAGTAGCTGGAATTACAGGTGTGTGCCACCATGCCCGGCTGGTACAGAAATCTGTGGGACTCTGGCAAGGAGTAAAGGGTTGCAATAGAACTTCCTCCGAGGAATGTCTCTCCTGCAGTTTGTCACGGCACTGACCGAAATGTCAGACATGACAAGACTCCACCAAGCCGTGGCTGCAGGGGACTACAGTGCAGTGAAACGGATTCTCAAGAAAGGCCTCTGTGACCCAAATCACAAGGATGCAGACTGGCACGACCGGACCCCACTTCACTGGGCTGCCATCAGAGGTGGGCAGGTGGCACCCAGGCAGAGTCCTGGGGTCACCATCCATGTGGTGCCCATCTGCCAGCTGTGGGTGGGAGCAGGAAATACCCCTGGAGCCAGACAAGGCTGGTCAGCCCCGACATCACCATGTGCTCGCATAGCACCCTACACGCGTTGTTTACTGTCTCGGCCACGGTCTATCGTCCTATATAACAAGGGCAGCCGTGCTGCTTTGGGTCCTGTGATAGGTGAGAATATGCAGTGTGATATAAAAATACAGTCAATGTTTATATTTTTCAAAATTTATCACAGTAAAAGACACATTGCCTTCAATCCCCTTCAAAACCCTCCCCCGGCTTTGAACACATCCATCCCGTCCTCCCTGATACTTTCGGCAGCATCTCTGGAAGTCCTCTTTTGTGACTGTCCAGCTGCCTTGATGTCCTGAATCGATTCAAAACATTTCCCTTCCACGGTTATTTTGACTTTGGGGAAGAGCTAGCAGTCACACAGTGCCAGATGGGGTCAGGGACAGGGACAGGGAAGGGCGAGAGGAGTTCAGAGGACACTGAGGGGCTCAGTTCAGGTAGAGATGGGGTTCATGGGTAAGGGGGACCCCGCTGGGGACAGTGAGAAGAAGGAACATGAGGACCCCTCAGTGGCTAACGTCTTCCCCTTCCTGTGCTGTCAGGTTGGCCCTGACCCTGGGCCACCAGGGACGCTTTCTTCTACCTCATCCTGTCCTTCCTGGTTCTCCCAAGGGCACATGGAGGTGCTGCATCTCCTGCTGGAGCACGGAGCCCGGCCCTGCCTGGTCACAGATGTGGGCTGGACCCCAGCTCACTTTGCAGCCGAGTCAGGTCACCTAGGCGTCCTCAAGGTCCTTCATGCCCTGCACGCCGCCATTGATGCCCCAGACTTCTTTGGGGACACGCCCAAGAGGATTGCGCAGATCTATGGGCAGAGCGCCTGCGTGGCCTTCCTGGAGATGTAAGTCCATTTCTCCCCAGCTCCAGCAAGAATGAGAAGCAGAGCCTGTGGCCAAGGTCTTTCTGATCCAGTAGTCTCAGGTCAATGATGATGAAATGGGGAAATTCAGCCAACTGACTACTGTTGGTTACTAACTTTTAAAGTGAGTTATTTTTATTAGTTTTTCACCATAATGACAAGTTTGGGCTGACCTGTTGTTTTAGATCATACAAAAATTATAGCTGATAAGAGCTTTGGGACAGGAAGTTTGAAGATGGGTCATGGTCCAGGATTAACCACCCCTTCTGCAAGGGTCCCATCGGGAACCTTGAAATGTATTTCAGTTGGCTCCATGACCTTGTACAAGGGAAGTCACTTTGTGGTCCTCAGTTTCCTCATATTTAAAATAAGGCAGATGAATTAGACTTCTATTTCTAAGACTCTTCTAGCTTTTAACGGTTCTATATTTATCTATAAATCCCCTACCCACATAGACACCAAGATAAGAACTTGTCCAGCTGGCATTTGTTACTTTTTACTCAGTCCAGCAATTGAGCATAATGAAGTACTGTATTAGCTAGCTGTCTCATCACTGGGACAGAAATACCTGACATGCGCAACTAAAGAAGGAACTTATCAGGTTGGCTCACAGTTTCAGAGGATTCAGTCCATTGTTGGCTGGCTTGAGGGTGGAGCCAGCATGGTAGAAGGGCCTGGTGGAGGAAAGCTGCTCGACTTACAGCAGGTAGGAAGCAGCAGGAGAGGCATAGCCTCCCAAGGCATGCCCCAGGGGCCCACCTCTTCCAACTAGGCCCCACATCCTAACACACATCCAACTATAAACTCATCACTGGATTCATCCACTGATGAACATAACATCCCCATGGTCCAATCACCTTCTAAAAACCCAGCATGAGACTTTGGGGGAACATTTTATATCTAAACAATAAAAGTCTCAGTTATGAATATAACAGTCATATCTCTGAAAAGAACAGGAATACAACTTACCAATTCATAATGCCACTGAGTCTGCAAGTAATGGATCCAAGTAAAAGTTAAAAATGAAAGTGTTGGCTTCATTGCTTGGAAATGAAGTGAGGCAGACACCAAATTCATCAGCAGGGGCAGTTCACCATGGAGGGAGGGTGACAGGAACTTGCTCCTAAGATTAGATTGAAAACACAGTTCTTGTCTGAAAGTTAAACCAATAAAGTCTTTGCCTATAATGTGATCAGTCGTCTGGAGAAGTAACCCAAAAGACCTTTCCCTTCTTTATTTCTTTCTCTCTTTCTTTCATTCTTTCATTCTTTCTTTCTTTCTTTTTTAAGGGGGAAGGGGTTTATTTGGCTTACAGTTCATAGAGGTTTCAGTCCATAATTAGCCAACTCCAAGGCAGGGAGGAAAAACAGGCATGGCAGAGCAGAAACAACAGGGTACACACAAGGCAGCAAAGGTAGTAAGAGAGTTAATAGCGTCTCCCTGCCCCTTTTATCTTATTCAGACTACTTAGGGCGGGTAGCACTCACACTCTTAATCCTAGTGCCCTTCAGCCTCGTATGGTATCATGAATCAATTCCAGGTTCACACATTCTAGATCAGGCCTATGAGCACATGAGGCTTTGTGGGGACATCTAGACCCAAACTATAACATTCGGCCCTGGCCCTTCAAAGACTCATGTACGTTCCTTTACACAGAATGCATTTAGTCCACTTCTAAGAGTTGCCAAAACCCGAATCATTTTAGCAGTGCTGAAAAGTCCAAGTCCAGAGTCTCCTCTGAGATTAAAGGCAAACTTTTAACTGCAGGCCCCTGTACAAATGAAAAGAAAGTCAAATGCTTCCAACATTCAATGGCACAAGATAGAGATTACCAAAAGGTACAAACCAAACCAAAAGGTACAAACAGGAGGATACAAAGGAAAGGGACGAAAGTAAGTCCAAAATCCAGTAGGGGAAACATTAAATCCCACAGTTCCATTTCCAGCATCCCCAGCAATCTGTGGCAAGTTGTGAACTACAGAGGGCTTTGGTGGCTCTGCCCCTATGGCACTTTCAGTGGTTGTATCTCCCATGGCTTCTCTCTTGGGCCGACTCTGCTCCCTCCTTGCACCTTTCCTCAGACAATCCATGCTCCTGGTTTCTCCAAACTTATGGGGTCTCCAATGCACCTTCAGCTTCACAATCACCACTTCACACACTGCCCTCTCAGGGGTGCCCTGCCTGGCCTCCCAGGCCTTCTTCTGAAATCTGGGTGGAAGCCTTCCTGACACCACAACTCTTGCATTCTGCATGCATCTAAAACCAGTGCCATGTGGATGATGCCAAGGTCTGCTGCCAGCTGGAGCAGTAGTAGCCAGTCTTCTTCCCTCTCTCTTGGCTGTAGGGGTCAAGTGCCTGGATTCTGCACTCTGAACCCAATCCCGAGGAACAAATTCTCTAGGCTGCTGCCATTTTGGAACAGCTTCCCTAGGCTGCCATTTTGGAACAACTTCCCTAGGCTGCAGCCATTCTGGAACATGGTGTGGCTGTCGCCATTTTAGAACCTGGTTCTCTGGAGCTTTTTTCTCAAAGCACATTTCTTTACCTTTGTAACTCTCAGGCTGCAAAGTGTGGAGTCCTGCCGCTTCCTGTGATGCTTTTAAACTACCTTTTCTATTTTTCTCTTCCTTCTCGGTAATCAAGATCTGCTCTTCTCTATCTTTGCAGTTCACAGCTTTACTGGAGCTCCCTCTCTGGCCCACCTCAAAATGTTTTAAATCATTCTGCTGGTCTCTTTGCTCTTGATTCTCCACATAGGTCTGGCTAAAAGGCCCCAACGGTAGCCATGCCACTGCCTCAGTATTCAACTGTCTTGAAATTTCTTCTGTGAGATTAATTAGTCCACCACCATTAATCTCAGTCTCAGGCAAAGTCTATGGACATGAACAAAATGCAGACAAACTTTCCGCCAAGCTGTAACACACATCATCTGGAGTCCAACAGCCAATGCAGTCCTTCTTCCTAGCAGAAACCTTCCCAGCCTGGTCTTTATAAGCTTTCTGGTCTTCTAATCTCTGACCAGAATCTCCCATACAGAACAGCCTAAGGCATTCCAGCCCTACTTTTTTAGCTGGAGCTCTGAATCTTCCAGCAAAGTCTCTGAACATGAGCAAAATTCAGACAAATTTTCTGTTGTCATAACAAACATCTTCTGGAGTCCAGCAGCCAATGCAGTCCTTCTTCCCAGCAGAAACCTCCTGAGCCTGGTCTCTACTGGCTTTCTGGTCTTCTGAGCTCTAACCAGAATCTCCCATACAGAACAACCTAAGCCGTTCCAGAGCTGCTTCTGTAGCCAAGGTCTCTGGATCTTTCCTAACTCTTCCCCTTCCCACAAACCAGTTCCAAAGGCTTTTGAGCCACATGGCTGGGTAATGTTACAGCAATGACCCCTCTTCTCTTGTACCACATTTCTGTGTTAGTTACTTTTCTCTCATTGCTGAGACAAAATACCAGACACCTAAAGTTAAAGGGGAAGGGCTTTATTTGGCTTACAGTTTGTAGAGGTTTCAGTCCATAATCAGCCAACTCCAAGGCAGGGATGAAAAACAGACATGGCAGAACAGAAACAACATGGTACACACAAGGCAGCAAAGGTAACAAGAGCCAAGAGACCTTTCTTAAAGGTGGTGTCACCCATTAGAACCATCCAGATCACAGAGCTAGGGAGCAGCCAGGCAGAACCTGAGTACTGATTGCAGAGTCCCACCACTCCCTGGTTTCTGTCCCCTCCCTACACTGTGGGACTTCCTGCACTGTGAACATCCACAGCACCAGACCTTCCTCCCTGTGCTTTCAAAATTCTGACACACCACTGTGTGGCCATAATTCCTTCATCCTGTCGGATCTCAGAGCTTCTCACTTTTCTTTGATTGTCAGTACCTGTTGCCATTCACCTTTTTTATTTCTTGATCTATCACCTCCTGAAGGTTTCTCCAACTCTCCTGGACACCATGACGCATGACTCCTACTTTCTCCCAAGGTTCACTACTTTCCAGCCCTTTACTATTCTGTTGCATACACCCCAGAATCCCAACCTGGGGTGAATCTCTGTATTCTGTACTCCTATGCTTGGTCACCCAGAGAAATCCCACCATTAAGCACCAGAAGGCTTAAGATGCTCTTCCTGTCCTGCTTGCTCAGTGGGATCCCAAGCTCGTCCCACCTCAGCCTGCATTTTCGGGGTCATCTTCGTCGTGAGTCCAGGGGTGCATGGTTTTCAATTCCTGGATCTCCAGACTCTGCACCCCCCCCCTCAGTTCCTGCCTCACATCCCTCCTCTGTGACAAGTGCTGTCCCTCCATGTGGACCTTTATATCTTCTACAAGGCCATCATTGCCATGTTCTTTGTTACATTTTTACTCTTTCTCTGTATTTTGGGATTTTTTTTTTTATTCCTTGCCTTCACTGCTTTTTAGCCCGTGAACATGTTCGAATGGACCTTATTAAACAAACAAAAAGTTACAGGCCCCTCTTGATCCGTGAGCGCCTTGGAAGTGTGCCTCTGCTTCATCACCTCTCTCTAGATGTCTTCCCACTCTTTGTATGGAAACACCTCTCACCCACATTCCTGGGAAGCTCCCATTGCTAAGTCAACAGCCTCTTCTTGATCATATCTTCCCCCCATTAATGCCATGTGGATGTTCCCGAAACTCTCCTCCTCTGCTGCATCTGCTGCTACCCTCTTAGTTTTCCTGCGCCCTGATCACCTCCTATAATTTCAATATGGCTTTTCTCAAGCTCAAGCTTGTGGCTTCCTTGCCCTAGAAACACGTGAGTAAGTGTACTCTAGGAAGGAGCAGCCCCTACTCCAAGTTGTCTTTAAGTCAGTCTACTAATAACTCTCTGGGGTCACATCCTCCTCACCACTGTCACCCTAACAGTGTCCTTGGTGTTCAAGGCCCCAGGATGACTGTGGATGTGTGCTCACTCAGTCTCCCCTTCCCTCCAGGCCCTGTGTGCAGCCCCCCTTGTCTTCCTTTGTCCCCAGGGCCGAGCTGCAGTGTCGAGCCAACCGCCTGGCAGGGCTCCCCCAGGATGAGCGAGACCCCGACTGGGATACTGGGAAGTTCCGGCTGCAGCGCTCACTTCGGTCCACAGCACCAAGCACCGACAAGAGAAGCAGAGGCCACTGCAGGTCCCGGCTCAGTGACACCCAGAGGCGGGGTCCTTTGCCTTCCAGGGACCCCGTGGCCCACACTAGGGGTCATGGGGCACCTGCTGTCACCCAGAGGCCTGGCAGCAGTGATGTTCTGCCGCCTGACAGTCACAGCTGAGGCCCTTTGTCTCCAGGAAGTCCAGAGAAGGGAGCCAGCTGTCAGCAGCCTGTGTGTGTCTCCAGTGATGGGCACCCCTGAACACCCCTGTACCACTCTAATGATGGGATTTGGGCACTAAAAAAGCTCTCCTAAGGGGGGCAGCAAAAGCAAAATTCTAAAAGTCTCCAACACCCTTCAGTGAATCCGTCCATAAAAACTTACTGTTGTCACAAAGACGAGGCCAGGTCAAGGACACCTGAATCTCCAGTTCCTTCACGGGGTGGGGGATCACAAGCCCAGCACAGATGCTTTGATCCCTGTCACCCCTACATGGAAGGAAGAGCTGGGCGTAGACCTGCTCAGTGAGGAAGGATGGGTGGACCCAGCACCGCTGGATTCCATCCCATGTAACTAATGAGAGAGAATGTGAAGGAACGGAACCTGCCGTTGGGATCTACTGTACATTTTAGAAAATGTAAATATGGATCCAATATTTCCAATGAAAGTATAGAATCCAAATTAAAGTGCAAAGTACACATTGGATTTTGAACCCTTGGTACAAAAACATGCACAATATATCTATAATAATCTTAAATATTAATTTGTTGAGGTGATAATACTTTCGATATTTTAGGGCTAAATAGAATTCATTATCAAAATTAATTTTGTCACTTTCTTTTCACTTTTAAAAACATGGTTTCTCTTATATGAAAGACCCAAGGTTTTATTCTCCTCTGTCAATCAGGCCCAACCTCCCTGCCCTCCCAAGAGGCTGTGAGCTGGAACTGCAACCGGTCTATGCACGGCCATAGTTCCACTACAGAAGGGAGCTCAGTTTCCCCCGGGAATTTCTGGGAATTTCTACCAGAGATGACGTGTAGGAACAGGGAAAGGGGACGTTACTAGAACCTCTGCAGTAAGTCCTGGTCTCCTGCGAGCCACAGCAGCACAGGGCGAATTACAGGAAAGGTAGAAAAATGAGACTGAGAAGAAGCTGAGCTTTGGGTCTGATCAGTGCTGCTCTGGGCGGCAAAGACGAACCCCCCCAGCTTATGGCACCTTTTATTCAGTACTTAGTACATCGGGAGAAACAGATGTAACAAATGACTTGCAGAGAGTTCAGCACATCCTGGGTAAATAAGATGTAACAATCCAAGAACAAGGAGGAACTGAGTAGATGTTTGTTCCTTCCAGGATGTTCTCAGTTCCCAGGATGTTTCTTGTCCTGGAGAATCACAGCATCACTGGATCACTGAAGTCTCAGTTGTGATCGGAGGCCAAAATGAAATTATGTCTCAGAATTCCATAGCTGGGCTGTAGGCGGGAGAACTAGGCTAACCAAATGATTTTACCCTAAAATTATGTAGCAGTGCTCCCAGCAGTGACGCCTTTCACAGGTCTGGTGAGAATGAGTAATCCCTGTCTGGCTTAACGTGGAGAACAGCCCGTCCTCTATTGCCCAGGAAGACTGTGGAGGGACATTCTCCCCGGTGGGCCCCACTGCTCTGTGATCCCCTGGCTGACCCTCTGTGCTTTTGCTGCCCTCCTTCACACTTATTCTCACTGAGGTGTTGGGAGATGTTTTCTCCCCCTCAGGGTTTTGTACAGTGAATGAGGACAACAGGAAGAGGACACCATGGTAGCTTCCCTGTGTGAAGAAGTTGGTGCACTACAGACACTGCCTAAGCACCTTCCCTGTGATTAGATCCAACCTGCCCAACACACCTGAAGGCCAGTTGTCATCGTCTTTAGTTGATGCCACACACTGCCATTCTGGGAGGCTGAGTGGCTTCCCTGGGCCACCACTTGGACGTGGATGAAGCACAAACCCTGCGGGCACTGGGCTTGAGCAGCTTGCTTGCATCACAGGGGTGTGGTCAGGGTGGAATGAGACCGTGTGTGTCAAGTACTCAGGATGACAGCCTCTATCCAGGCAGGGACATGCAGTTTCAGCTGTGGTTATTCTTTTTCTCGGCCTTCAGTGTCCCTGATATGCAACGAGAATGCTTGCTAAAAAGCATTAGCATCATCCCAGAGAGGGAGCTTGGGGACAATGATCACTTGGTGGCCCATCAGTGTCCCCAGGGGAGGTGCTCACCTTGTGCTGGCCCTGAAGTTGCCTCTCTTCTGAGGGGCCTCAAAGCTGAGGTTAACTACCCGGGATCTGGGCTCCTACCTTGCAAGGTGCATGGACTACACATCCACCTCTTCCCAGGACAGAAGAGGGAGAAACACTTCTCTACACATCTTATTACTTGGATAACAAAATCAGACAAAGATGTTGCAACAAAATGACCAATATTCTTCATGAACACAGGTGCAACAATACTTAGCAAAGCAACGGCACAGTCAAATCCAGCAGTGTGGGAGATGATCCTTCACTACAGCTGTGAAAATCAATCTCAGTCAGCATGGACTGCAGGACTTCACAGTAATCCTTTTCTTGCCCCATGTCCCTTGGCAAACCAAGACGACGCAGTTCCCCTCCAGGACGTGACTGAGGTCCCAAGACTGCCCTGTTCCTACAGATGTTCCCCCTTGTTGGGCTGGGAAACCACAGATTCTTGCCAAATTTGCAGAAGAAAAAGCAGAGAACTTCCACCCTGCCGGAGCCACGTGATGTTTAGCAACTTCGCACCACAGGTTCGTGTTTACAGAGAACAGCTCGGTTCTCAGGCTGGCTTCCTGTCACCGGGCTGTCACATGGGGCTGCTTCTCTGGCCTTGTCTAATACACATGCACAGGGTGCTGGTCTTCAAGATGCCGAGTCACAAAGATGCCCTTTTTAGTGCTCACTGTGGGAATCCTGAGGCCTGACTTGGGGCTCCTTGGCAGCTGCCTTGAAAGTGGATTGCAGATGCTGAAAATCAAAGGCAGCAGAACTCCTTCCCCTGGCGAGTCAAGGTTCCATGGGAAACAGTGGAATTTGAGGTCTGGATATCACTGACTTTATAAAAATGTTAAGCCACATAAGATTTGGGGGTCTTTTCTGCCATCTTCTGAGAAATCTCTGGAAGTAAGTGGCAGGGAGTCGGCAGACCAGATGGTCTCTTTTGTGTTAGTTTGTGATAATATTTGCATAATTATATATGTTTACTAAAAATCATGGAATTGTACATTCAGAATGACAGCACTTATGACCTATAGATTATATTTCAGTAAAATTGTCAAATGAACTATGCTGGATGACAGACAGTCGATGATAGTCTCATGTTCTCGGAGGGAGCCTTTCTCTGCAGTGGTCCTGTCTGGCACTCATGCCTCCAAACACTGGCCCTCTCCTGCTCACCATTGTCTGCTCTGGGTGCTCCCTGGGGAAGCTATGTCTGCCTGCACTGACCCTCACTGTGTCCTGACAGCTGAGCTTTGTTTGTTTGTGAGCACTTTTTGGCTGTTTAAATATCACAGATGTGTGAGTTTCATCTTATTTTTCCAAAGAACTGACATGTTACTGGGAAATACTTTCATACAGCAAATACACAGAGCTTAAGTGAACCATTTAATGAGTACATCCGGGAAATCCACACCCTCCACAGGGGTAGAACATCCCATAGCCCGACAGAATCCCTCTCTTGAGCCACTCTGCCAGTCCAGCCCCTCTCCTCCCACCCCCAACTTCTGTTCTGATTTCTGTCACCACAGGTCAGTTTGACCTGTCCCTGATCTTCATACACCAAATCATCAGTGTGCATTCTTTTATGTCGGATTTCCTTCACTTGACACGTCTTTTAGATTAATGGGGTTGTGGCTGGATCCGTAGCTTATTCCCTGGATGATACCGCAATTTGTTAACCAACTCACCATTTGTTGGACATTTGTATGACTTCCAGTTTGAGGCCTTTATAACTAAAACTGCAGTGAATATTCAGTCCAGGCCTTTTTACTCACACATACCTTCCTTTCTCGCTGGTAAACACCCAGGAATAGAATTGTTTGCTGGCAGTGTAGATGCACACTGTGCTTTGGAAGAGTTGCGGTTTTTATTTAATTGCCTGCATGGAGGCACAGACCCCCTATTTTCAGGAACATTCACCGAGCGATGGCGTCATCAAGCCTCAGGAGGAAGAGATAACTGACGGGGGAAGCGGAGGACAGGAGGAGAGTGGTGGTGATTGTAGAGAGTCCGTCTGCGCAACTGCTGGGCAGCTTTGTACCTGTTGCTTTGTTAAATTTTTACAATGCCCCTGAGAGGTATTTCATTATCCTCATTCTAAAGTTGAAGGAACGGAAGCTCAGAAACATGAATTAGCTTTCTTGAGGTCACTCAAACCCATATAGAATGCACAAGCTCAGATAAAAAGCTCTTCCTGTGGCTGCCACCTCTGTCATCTTTGTGTGATGCTACAGCAGCCTGGGCTTTTAGGTGGCTTTTTGGGTCCTCCTAGGTCCAGCCTCCCTGCAGCTGCTTCTGGTGTGAGGAGCTGACCCGATCCTACCAGGCCACTGATTCCCCCTGGCTCCTGGTTGCGCTGCCCTCCGGGCCCAGCATCTCCGGTTCTTCCTGCCCCTTTCCCCATCCCTGGCGACATGGCTCCACCCTCATCCTCCCTACCGCCCGTCCCGGGCTCCATTCTAACTCACCTCATGCTCATAAATGTGGGTGTTCCACTCGACTTTGCTCAAGGCTTTAGGAGACTCTTTTCTTGAGACTGCTTATTTGCTCTCCAAAACATTTTGCTTTTATGAATTGTGCCACAATTAGTTTTATACAGAAAAGTGTGACTTGATGGCAGCGTTCTGATCAAGTCACTTTGTAGCATAAAAAGTGTAGTGTTGTTTCCTGCAGATACGGCCTCTACCTTTGATGAGAATTTCAGGGTGAAAGACTTGATTTTTTAGGGTTGTATTTTACCTCCTTCCCCTACAAATATCTAATTATAGTAAGGATACACATCCTGAGCCTTGATTGTTTGGCATTAAACTCCTGCCCAGTAACAATAGCCTACATTATAGAGTGCTTCTCATCATTTCCATATTTTTAAATTGTCCTCCACAAAACCCTCTGAGGTCAAACAGGCAGATGAAATGAAGCCCAGCTATAAAGTGGGACAGCAGTAAGTCCAGGACCTGGCACCTCTCTATGGTGTCAAGTTCCCCTCTGTGCAAACCCCACATAGTTCATCCTTCAGTATCATAATGAAAATCACAAATTCACCCCATTTGTGGAGATACTCTTTCTTAAAAATAACTTTAAATCGATTTGTAGTAACAATTTTGAAGTATTTAGGTAAGTTGGAAGGAATATCTGCATTGCCTGATAGCTTGTGCTCAGTGACTTCCCCGAAGCTTGAGACAGATTGGTTTCTGTGAAATGTTGGATGTGATACCCAGTTTGGTGGAGTGTGGACACCCTCTTGTGGAAACCGCAAACCATGGAAAGGCAGATCGAATCAGGAACCATTAAAACAGTCTTGCAGTGTAGAAAGACCAATGTGCTTACTAATCCCTAGAAATGGATTATAAAAGCAAATAAAATCTTAGTAGATTGTTCAACATAAAAACTTACAATTTAAAAATGATATCATTAAGGTGTAAGGAAACCAAAGTTCAAAGAAGTGAAGAGGAAGAATGTTTTCTGGTATTTCTTCTTATAGTGAGAGGTGACCAAAAATATGGTGACTGTTTAAATTTAAAAATTACTATAGGAAAAGACACATTG